AACAGAAGTTTTGCAAGCTTTGCAATCTTTCCTAGTTCTCTGCTGTGCCTGACTGTCTCATGTATATTTATCTAAGTAGAGCTCTCTTTTAATAAATTTGGCATTAAATGCTGTGGCTCAGAAGCAACTGAATCAAGTGACTAAGCATGTTTTAAGGACTAGAATTAGATTTCCCAGTTGTGCATATTAACTGTGTTTTGGTTGTGTTCTGGGGATAATGTTTTCTCCATGCTGCTTAAATACCTTTTCACCTAGATGGGCCTTAGCAGTGAACAGGGGCTCTTCACTCTCCATGTTGATTGTAACTTGTTTTTTTTTCCCTTTAGAATATCTTCTTGCATATTGTGGATATATCTAATCCCAAGGAAATCTGGAAGTTTGCTGAAAAATTCAAAAATGAACATAAATTAAATGTGTTGGTAAGTTTGCTTACTTAAATCATGTGTCTGTCTTTGGAAAGTGTAGCCTCTGAACTTGTCCAACGGGCAGTCTAGGTTTTGCAATGTGACCCACAGTTCTCTGCTTTTTTTCCTCTCGATGTTGCTGCAGTAGTCTCCATGGTCCATTTGCCCTTGTCTGTTCTCGGTTCACATAGACAGAAATGACATAAAATAGAATAGAGAAATGCAGTGTTTTTTTAGCCACATCTTTTGCAGTTCTTGCCATGCAAACCTTGTGGCCTTTAGGGTGCCTATCAGGCTATCCATGTTCTGCTAAACAGAATATGGCAGGGACTGATGCCTCCTCCCAAGGGCAGATTACACTTGCTTTGAGCTAATCCCTTTTAAAGATTAAACTTTTATGGAAAGTCTAGTTAGAGCAGTCTAAAACTAAGCCAGAGAGGGAGCTAATGGTTAAGCAGCGTGGATGGTAAGTGGTTCAGTAGTCTCTCTCCTTTATTTAGCAGTGAAAATATGCTCTAGGGACTGTACTAAAACTGAGGCACCTGGAGCAGTTGTTTTGGTGCTCAATAGATGAGGAAATTCTGATAGAAATGGGAAAGTATCTTGTGAGGAGTGGCAGTGAAGAAGCAGGGAGGTGTGAAGGGGCAGATCTCTTTTTGACGTGGGAAAGAAAAGCTTGAACTTCCTCTGAAAGGTAAGTCAGAGGAAGAAATGTGTCTGAGAATATGCTGGCTACACCCAGCAAGCTTCTCAATATTCATAAGGTTTTGCCCTACCATCAGTACTGTGTGGTACAGCGCCGTTGCTCACAGCAGTGCACGAATCAGGTGGGGTATCTGTGCAGGACTGCCACAGAGAGAAAAGCTGGGGACCCTACAACCAGAACACAAAGTCAGTACGATGCCCCTCTGCTGGTTAGCTCTGCTCTTCTCAGAGCTAACCTACTGACCTGGCTAAACTGCTGCCAAGTTTGGAACTAATTAATTTAGTTTGCTGAGGGAGAGGGCACCTGCAGACTATTCTGCTGTGTGTTGTACAGCTTCCCTCAGTGAATTTTCCCCAGTACTGAAATCTCTAATGGAGAATACATCACCACATAGCACAGGTGTGGGATCAGTGTGATTCCTCAGATGAGACTAGCAAACTAACACTGCCTGTATGTGTTCTAATATCTGCTCTACAACTTGCATATTATTTTTTGTGAGAAAAGAGTTTAAAAACATGGAGTAGGGCAGTAAGAGGACTGTTGGCTCTTAGTGTAATAATTGGTGGTGATCCATTTTTCTGAAGATCCTTTCTTTTGTGAAAAACAGTTATGGTCAGTGGCAGAGTAGTGTGACTTGGAATAGCGTGGTTTATTGAAACAGTTTGTGGCTTTGTGTTGCAGTGTCAGAGAACAGTAAACTATCATGGACTGCTTGTATGTGTGGTTTTGTTTGTAGATATTTGTGTAGATTATTTTTGTTTACAGGAGTTGTCTTGCAGATCAACAATGCAGGATGTATGGTGAATAACAGGGAATTAACTGAAGATGGACTGGAAAGAAACTTTGCAACAAACACTTTGGGTGAGTACCAAATCCTTAGTTCTGAAATATGATACGTACTTGGGTTACAGAAGTGTGTGTTTACAGCTGAGTTTGAGAGGTGTGTATTCATAGAATCATGGAATGGTTTGGGTTGCAGATCAACAATGCAGGATGTATGGTGAATAACAGGGAATTAACTGAAGATGGACTGGAAAGAAACTTTGCAACAAACACTTTGGGTGAGTACCAAATCCTTAGTTCTGAAATATGATACGTACTTGGGTTACAGAAGTGTGTGTTTACAGCTGAGTTTGAGAGGTGTGTATTCATAGAATCATGGAATGGTTTGGGTTGGAAGAGACCTTAAAGATCATCTAGTTCCAAACCCTCTGCCATCAGCAGGGACACCTTCCACTAGATCAGGTTGCTCAAAACCTCATCCAGCCTGGCCTTGAACGCTTGCAGGGAGGGGGCATCCACAGCTTCTCTGGGCAACCTGTTCCAGTGTCTGACCACCCTCACAGTGAAGAACTTCTTCCTAATACCTAATCTAA